CCAACTTCCACCCCTCTACCTGATTCGCCACAGTGAATGACCGCTCTGTGCGAGTTCAACCAAGGCAGACCTAATATGACATCATAGCTGCCGATGTCGTTAACCTTTAAATCAAAATCAAGATCCTTCGAATCCTCAACACCATTAGTCAATCGCCCGACGCCTATCCACGAATGGGTGACTAACTCTCCTCCTGGAGTGCTGTCAAATCCCGAACAAGTCAGAGGAGAGGATAAGGGATTAGTGATCAATTTAAAACATTGCGCAACCTTCTTATGCACAAACGATTCCATAGCTCCGGTATCCACCAATGCTCGGACTAGCACGGATGAATTTCCCAGAACCAAACGGAGGCCAACACAAAACCTTGTGGGAAAAGCAGGTAAGGGGCTGATTCGTAAGGTGCTTACACTGGGTCCGCTATCCATCGCATCAAGGTCACGTTCCCACGCTAAATGCTCCGCAGTCATGCGATCCATTTCTTCCGCGTTCTCACGACCCATGGAACTTAACCATTGAGCTTTGACAGCGACAGCGGCAGACGGTGCGGTTGAAGGAGACGCCATAGGCGTAGCAGAAGTGGCGATAGGAGCAACAGCGATTGGCGCCGCAGGCACTGGCGGTTCTCGAGCATGAACGTTGCTCGGGTTGTGTAGGCGAAGAAAGGCGAGTTGTTCTTGAGCTGAAGCAGGGGGATTTGGGCAAAACGGCTGATTCGGTTGGTTGTGGCGGGAGCATTTCGGACCAAGGCAATTGAAGCATAGATGTTTCCCCCAACACACACGGCGAACAGCAGACCGTAAAGCCGGCGCTGCGTCTCCGTTTGCAGTAATCGCGTCGATCTGCATGGCGTTTGGATCGACCGGGACGCGAATTGGAGTCGGATGATGATGGGCGGCAGCTTGAGCAGGCGGAACGTTGTATCTGGAACGGCGGGTGCTGAATGGGTGATCGGCAGGTAAGGTTGCGTAACGCGAAGCCATGGCGGCCGCTTCGACAGCTAAAGCCATGCGTTCGTCCAAAGATGACGATTGGGCCCACTCACGGAAACCGATGGCAGCTCCAAAAATGGCAGGAGACAAATTGGCTTCGTAGATTTCCAACTGTGAGTCAATGCTGAGGCTAGTGTGAGCAGCCATGGTGCGGAAGGTGGCATTATACTCAATCAAGTCCATAGTACCCTGTTTAAACCTTTTCAAGGCATCGTTAGCGACCCTGGCGGAATTGACATCTCTAAAGTTGTTGACCATAGCATTGAGGAACCCTTGCATAGAGGAAAGTTCCGGGATTACATACTCAAAACTCTTCAAATCAGCGTATTCGCTCCATTGTCCCAAAGCGTGAGCGTTGGTCGCCAATAAACCGTTGAACCAACTGTGAGCGGCTGAATCGAAGGTAACACCCCTATTGTCACGAGAACGGAAATGACGCGCTATCCAATTGATACGGCGTGTGTCGTTAGCAAAACGGTCACCAAAGTTTCTCACAGCATCACAAATGTCTTGCAAAAAGTCTCTCAGATCTGAAGGTCGACCCGAAAAGAAGATATCGCGCGCAACTGGGGGCTCAGCATATACATACGTAGGTTCGAAACTTTGCGGTACCGGTGAGATGTGAGGTTGACGCTGAGGAGTTGGCGAAACGCGATGCACCGAAGGCGCATGTCCTGGAGCAGCGGCGGGAACGGGAGTCGATGCCGACGATGGCTGAGCAGTCGGTTGTGACGTCGCCATGGGGTAGTGCATAGGCAGCGGATTAGTTTGTTGGAAACGGGGAGCACTAGCCTGGTGTGGAGGCGTCGCCGGCTGAAAACGCGCAGTGGGAGGAGTCACCGAAGTGGCAATGGGAACTTCCTGGGGCGCTGAAACTGGTCGAGTAGGATGATTCGGAACCTGAAGATGGGAAAAAGGCTCGACAAAACGTTGTTGAAATCCTGCCGGCATTGGAAAACCTAAATTTGGCGGAGGTCTCGTATACATAGCAGGACCCATGCAAGCACGATAAGAACCGTTTACGGGATGAGTGGGCGAAATAACGGAAATTTGATCCAATCTGTTAGTGATCTCATCAATTTGCGACGGAGCAACTAAATTTTGAGTCAGTCTATCAATCGAAGTCTCAAAACGCTCCTCAATCCGACGCAAACAGGCTTCCAAGTCATGTTGAGTTACTACGCTGGAAGAGGCGCTAGACTCTGACAAGACGGAAGTGGTTGAAAACGAAGGACGCGGATCATGCAAATTTCCGGCAGGCAAGTTTCGAGGGGTAGCATCCGACATGACATTTTCGGAAGCAGGAGGTGTATCAGACATTCTGTCGGAGTCGGACGGCGGGTTGGTGCTATTGCCGCCACTCATCGCAAATATTGGAAGTCTGAAATCTACAAAAGGGAAAGAAAATAGGAAAAGAGAAAAGATAAAAGGAAAAAGTTTTCACAATCGCAGGTGAGTTTCTCTGCAATGTTTGCCCCTGTGGCTGGGATTTGTAATAGAAAAAATTTCAAATGAAAAATGTATAGATATGAATTGTTTACTGCTTGGATAGCGATCCTGTCCAATCTAGTTCCACTTCTTTGGATCGTAGAATGAGGACAAACCCCTTGGTTTTAAATTTTTCGATTCCGAAAAGCTCTTGAATACGGAGTTTTTACGAAAAGAAATGGTGAAAGATCGATTTTTAATGTAGTGATCTGGCTTATGGTTTAAGAACTCAAGACTCCTAAGTATTGAATCCGGAACCTCTCCTAAGATGATTCCTGTAAGCGTTTGTATTTATTTCTTTGCCAAAAGAATAAAGAATGAAGATCGTAAAGTAACAAGAAAACTCGATAGAGAAAGAGAAAAGATAATAGAAGTGAAATGACAACTCTATATAAATACTAAAGAAATTAAGATAATGTAATCACTAAAGATGAAATAATTGAAAACATGATGTCATCACATAACCGAAATGCTGAGCTAAACACAAGTCCATGACTACTTTGTCGCGTCCTGTAAAAGATCATCTAGAAAAGCGCATGACAACTCTAACCGTTTTCGTCGAAATCTTTATTCATCACATTACACGTCTGTTACACGGGTCTGACTTCAGCACCAAGAGATTTGGGTGGGTACCTGGGTTAGCTTTTGCAAGAAGAGAAGGGTCTGGGGATTGGTGAAAGGTGCAAGAGGGCGTTTGTGTGGTTCGTAGCGGCGCAAATTGCTTTTTGCTGTAAGAGTTTTGAATAGGTACAGCTTTGGCATGATCAAGAAGCATCTCATACCGGTCAACTTTTTTGGAAAGCAAAAAGATTGATAAAAATTTTGGTCGGTTAAGAGTGGCTTTGATATTGCTTTCTAGCCATCTCGAAAGCATTCCCAATTTTTTGAACTGCGACTGAATTGGGTTTAGAAACCGGTTGGTCGCTTTTTTGCCCAACCCCTATTTGTTATACTTGAACAATTGGTTTCAAGTATCATCCACCTCATTAAATCTACATGCATTTTTGATGTATCTGTAAGTTGAAGAGTAGAACACTGTGCAGACCAAGTGAAGGGCTGGTGAAATTGGGCCAAAGCGTAAGCTTAACATAAGCCCAATGACCAATCTTGATGAAAAAGTAGGAATCCCATCTGATTGAAGGGGTCTACAATTATTTGGGATCCTGCTATCTGTGGCCTGTGTTTCAAACTTGCAGGTGTGAGTTATACAGTGCCTATAAGTGCAGGTGCCTCAACCCAGCGCCTCATGCTTCATGGGCACCAGTTGATCCTTTTTGACTTGTAAAGTTCTTGGTGTGAACCAGTTGATCCCTTTTTACACTGATATGTGCTCTTATCCAGGACCCACATACATGTAAAGGAATGTAGGCGCTGGATAAGAGTGCTTGTGGCCTGGGGTCTGGTAAATTATTGTAATATGGGCGCTGTTGAGACCCTTTCTTGTGGCGCTCGCCTGTGAAAATAATGTGCAGGCGTCAGATTCCACAGCAGCTCACAGCACCTGCAAGTTTGGATTGCAGGCTGCAAATATCAAGATCCCAACTTGTAGACCCCTTCCATCAGATGGGATTTTTACTTTTTCCATTTAAATTGGTCATTGCATGTCATTGTTTGGACAGTGGCCCCGAGGGAAGGGGCACCTCAGGCTGTTACCCGGGCCATTTCTCAGCACATACGACAATTTACCACAACAAATGATGCGAGGAGCTCAAGCGGTGAAGCAGATGAGTTTGAAAAGACGATATGGTGTGTCCGACACTGCACCGCGTTTCCCACTGCATTCTCATGCATCCCAAATTCCAATGCTCTTCAACGGAATTTTAGTTGCATCTATCTCAATGGGCTACAAATTGCTTCTTTCATTTCCTCTGTCAGTAGGCTCAGACCATCCAACCAGAAATCTGGTCAAGTGGACATATAAGTCTTATCTATATCCTGCGCTCAAGTTTGCAGTCGGCTGCACAAGAGGGAATGCCATCAGTCAATGGGTGCTTTGACATGAGCCTTGAAACACTTTTACTTTTAGGTTGAAAATATCTCCTTTGGAAAATTGTACTTTTGTTCGATTACCTTCAATGTGTCCATGTGCGTGACGGTACTGGGATGATGGGTATGTCAAACTTCACCTCGACTTTCGACTTATCATCAAGTTTCCAATTGTTAGAGCAAGTTTTGAAACTGACTTGCAGTTTCAAGCCATCCCTCTTCTCGACACCTTGCGACATTGCCGTGATTCCTGATCACTCAACGGAGTTCCGCTTCATACGTTGCAAACCAACTTGCATGCGTCCGAAAATGAACCCGACTTGAAGCTGTAGGAGGCATGGTGAAGCCGCCCCACTACATAGTCTTCAGCCATAGTTTTCACCATACCCACGACCTTTCCCAACTTGGAGATCGACTCTGCCATTCACTGTTTTTTTCTCTATTCAAGTCTTTCACGCTTTGTCGTCATCATCATTCAAGTCACTCCTTTCGCCCTGTGTTCCCTAAGCTTGATTATCCTCAAGTATCACGGACATGTATCTCGTCCAAGTTGGCCTCTGCCTCTGGCTCATCTCCCAAAGATGTTACGCCGGGTTAACCAAAGATATTGAACAGACCAAAATTCTCGACGATGGTCTTGAGCTCAGTAACCGCGAGCTGACTCAAGGCGAACGAGATTTTGCAATGTTTCCCGAACTTTCTTCAAAAGATTCATTCCCTGATCATGGCGATACAGGAAGATCGAAAGAAGAAAGCACTGACGTCAGCCCTGCGAGTTCAGCTGAAGGAAACGTGCCGACTGGATCTCAAGCACGCCTTTCATCAGGTAAGTTGTCCAACAACGCTGTGAAGCCTACGAAGAAAAAGCTAGGCCTAGAGCTAGACTTTTGATTTCTGGTCAAAGCTATTGATAGTGACAGATCTTCAGAAGATGGACCGATCTCTGCGATATCAAAGGGAAAGCAGCATGCTCATTCGGTGCCGCTATACGAACAATACATCTCATCCTACGGTGGATCCGCCCGTCGGGATTTTCAAGGCCAGCTCAGCCATTATCAAGGAAATCCTAGATTTGACCCTCATGCTACAGCTATGCATCCCTTTCCGATCACTAATCAGTATTGGGCTTTGGCTCCAAATGACTTGCCGGGTCCAGACGTGTTGATCCCGGCGTTTTCAAACGCAGAAGTCGCGGCGATGCATTCACCTTTTGGACAAGCTATGGCGGTGATGCCCTCGCCCTTGACCCCCGGACTTCTATCAGATCACATCCAGGCGCCTTTGCCATATTACAATACTCATCTTATACATGAAGGGAACCCACAAGAATTTGTCCCATCGCATATCTCTGATCCACAAAGCATGTAAGACCAACTCCAACAGTCACCATACTGAAAAAACAATTCTGGCAACTGGATTTTTTGACGAACTTTACGTGTTTCTATCACAGTAGACCACCTCGGGATTCAAACTTCTTCGGCTCCAGAAAGTCCTCCAACAGACCTCCGTATAAAACCCGAGGTCAAGGACTACCCAGAACTGGAGGTCGGTACGCGTATTGACACACGGGAATGGGTCAGAAAGGTTCGCGGGTAGTGAAGCACGCGGGGTCCTAACCTTGACGTCCACTCCTCGCAGTGTGATCTCTTCGTATCTCACAACCAAAGATGGATGGACGTTAAGGTGAGGAAAAAAGATTCCTATAAAAACATCCCTTGTTCCCATCATAGAATCTTTGTCCCATCGGAAAAATTTCCATTATCTAAATAAGAAATCATTCCGTACTCCGCCAGTCTTTATCGCAAACCTTTCAAATTTTTATTACCTATTCGAAGAAGCTCTCTATTTTCGTTTTTTCGTTTAGTTATCTATATAAACTACACAGAAGAAAACTCGTCAAAAAAGCCTTCTCTCAGATTATGATCGCAGAAGCAAATTCCCACAATGACCGTTATAAAGCCATTGACGCGATCCTTGAGGATTATAAATACCGCGGCGGTAGCTCCCATGTCTCCATGGTTGAGCTCCGCGATCAAGTCGCAGAAATTTACAATCCCCAAGCGCCGGATTTCCTCTACCACTGGTCTGCAGTGGCAAGAGTGGCCATCGCCCTCGATCATAGGGATCGCCGTATCCAGTACGGCACTGTCGACGAGATGCCCAAAAACGCTGATCCCATGGGCAACCCGCCCATCGTACTCAGCAGGAAAGTCAAGTCACCCTTCCCTGCCGAATACTACCGTCCTCCACGAGGATTCGTTGGGGAACGAAAACCAGCTGGGGTCAAAACGCCAAAAGGGTTTCCCGATGAAATCGAGCATCCCGATGAAATCGACGATGCTTCAATGTTCCCTGCAGGCGGCTCCCATCACGTTAGCCAGCCAGCACCACCATCCCCTCCACCACCACCATTCAATCCCAGACTGCCGTCACCGAACCCCCCTCCCTCCTCTGGAAAGGGAAAAAACCGTCGCCGCCACCGAAAAAGGCGGTCTTCAAACCATAGCCAAGGTGGACCAAAAGCACCTCAGGTCCCCCTATCTCTACGAGTGGCTCCAACTACTCAACCTACGGCCAGTGCATCAAGAACTCAACTACCACCTACCCGACCAAACAATAGTCTGTTTGATAGGATGGCCCATACCGCACGGCAACCGGGAAAGCAACCGACTCCGTCGGTCGCAAAAAATTCGAAAAGAAGAAGATACTCTTCTCCTCCTTCCTCATCGTCAAGTTCTTCTTCGAGTGACGGGTTTACACCTCCTCCACCAGCACCAGCTGTCTCTGGGGCACCAGCCACCTCTGGGTCCGAAGGGGATGATGATGACGGCATGGCGCCGTTCTTGGCTCATAACGAGCATCTCTCCCCCGAGGCATTCACCCCTCTGTCACGGGAGATCCAACAAATTGCACTCCTATACAAATCCAACATCAAAAAATACGTTTCACTTTTCAACTCGTGTGGGAACCGTCCAGCAAACTGGCACAACAGTCTCACTCGAGACCTATTGGAATACAACTTTGTGGACCTCCGGAAACTCTACGGCGAAGTCTCGTCAGGCAAACCGTCAGAGTCTTTTCTCAAAGTCAATGACTCCGGTAAGCTTAAGAGCATCGACGGAGCGACTCCAAAAGAAATCACCGACAACAACCATTGGAAAGATCTCATGGCCGTCCTCCGTCACGCTTACATCGCAGCTTATCCTCCAGCTGCCACGGCAATCAAAAAGTACTTCGATTACATTTTTGGCCTACCAGGACTTTTTCAAGCAAAAGTCAACTGGGAAGACGTCCGAGACTTTGACGTCGAACTTCGAAAGGAATTCTCCTCTCGTCCTTGGCTGGTATGGGGAGATTACGCCCACGACAGCCTACGCGGTATTGACAACCGAGTACTCTACAGCGCAGCTAGTAGATTCTCTCAAACTCATCGTGCGGCCACGTCATCTTCCAACGCCGCTCGAGTCGCCTCCACTCCCATGCCATACCAATCTTCGTCAGCCACCAAAACTTCTCAACCGAAACCCAGAGGCAAACGCAACAAGCCGAAATATGCCGTCAAACCGGGAAAAAACGTTCCTTTGGGTGATCAAGTTTGTAATAATTGGAATCTTGGTGTCTGTCCCTACACAGACGCTCAGTGCGACCGAATCCACAACTTGTGCAACAAAGTTGGATGCGATGGCACTCATCAAGGAGGCCGAGAACACAAATGAACCTAGTGGCCGGCGATACTTACGGGGTTTGGAAATCGATGAATTATCAGAAAGCTTTTCAGCATCAGTCGAATCTTCCCTGAAGGCCGATCCTTTACCTTCAGCACCCCCCCTCTCAGCAGACCCCCTGGCGGCGTATGCTATCAACCGCAGGCCGGATCTTTTTTCTATAAACTGTCCTATAAATATAAAAAATTTCTCTTCTCTTCTCGTCAATCACCCAAACCGACCTTTTGTCGACTCTGTACTATTAGGCCTATCAGAAGGCTTCTGGCCCATCTCTTCAAAACCTTCAGACGAGACCGTCTCACACGAGAACCACGCATCCGGAAAAGAAGCCGAGCAAATCCTCGAAAAATCAAGAGACAAGGAAATCAGCCTGGGTAGATACTCACCCCCCTTTTACACTCTACTACCGGGAATGAAGGTCTCCCCGCTTTGTCTTGCGAAGAACCCAAACTCCGGGAAAATCAGAACTTGCACCAACATGTCCTTTGGACACCCCTCGCCGAACGACTTGATTGACAAAAACAAGATAAAAATCGACCTCGACTCGATATCATCATTTCTACCTTGCCTCATCCTCTGTCACAGATCAAAACAAGTCATGATACTGTGGAAATCAGACGTCGACGGAGCCTTTCGCATCTTACCAGGTTCAAAACAATGGCAATTCCGCCAAATCGTAAAAATAGGTAGAGCTTTCCATGTAGACAGGAATGTGAATTTTGGATGCTCCAGTTCTCCGAAACTGTGGTGCTCATTCTTTTCCTTAGTACTCTGGATAGCAGTCTACGAACTCAAGATAAAAACCCTCAACTCCTACATGGACGACTCTTGGGGAGCAAGCCTCGCATCGGAAGTGGTTCTTTTCAAAGGTCACGAGATTCCCGTGAACCAAGCTAAGTTCTTATCCTTATTCGACTTCCTCGGCATTCCATGGGCCTGGGAAAAGCAACTCTCCGGACCCGTCCTCGAGATCATCGGCCACACGATCAGCTGCGACGACCTCTCAATCTCACTCTCCGAAAAAAAGCGCTCCGAGCTAATAAGCGCTCTTCGAGCATTCACATCAAAAATCTCACACCCTCTGGTAGAGTGGCAGCGCCTCACAGGATGGGCAAACTGGGCACTCAACATCTTTCCCCTGGGAAGATGGGCCCTCCAGTCCTCTTGGGACAAAACATCGGGAAAAACCATCAAACGAGCTCACATTCCACTCAACCGTACCAACAAAGAAGATCTAAACTGGCTAGCCAACGCCCTTGAAGCATGGCAAGGACGACTCGTCCTGAAAACCCTCCACTGGCCTCTCTACGCTGCCGACTGCGTCTTCTTCTGCGACGCTTGCATGACAGGCATCGGCATCTGGAGGCCGGCAACAGCTCTGGGTTGGAGTCACACCCTACCACCCCCAGCCCGTGACATATACTGGGCCGAGCTCCTAGCGGTTACAATGGCAATAAAGCTGGCTGTGGGAATTAAGGCGAAGAAAGCGCTGATTTTCACCGACAACGAATCAGTTTCTTACTTATTCTCCTCACATAAGCCAATCCCGTCGATCCGGATCATCTTCAGATACGCAGTCAATCTCATGCTCGACAACTCATTGGATGTCAAAGTCAGGCACGTCTCGGCAGACGACAACCGAGTAGCCGACGCAATCTCCAGAAGAAACTCCGATCGAACAAAAATTCTCGCTCCCAACATCTCCGTAACCAACATCAAACCAGAACCCTTCCTTCTTGTGGGGGGATCCAGCAGTCGATCGTACCTTTCACTAATCCAATAAGGACAAAAAACCTAAAAAACCGTTTTCTTTTCTTTTTTGTTCTTCGTTATCTATCTGTACATCACCTCTTGACCCTTTGAAAGAATCTCAGCCAAGGATTTCACTCAAATTCGAGCTCTTGACCGTTCAAAAACTTCAACCTATATCACCTCTCTTCATAAACCTTTCGGATCGTCATTATGAAGAAATCAAAACCTCGTCAAAAACCGAAACTCACCTTTGAAGAGCGGGAAGAGATGAACCAAGAAGACATCGAAAACCACCTCGAACCCTCTACAAAATCAAAATACCAATCAGGCTACCGACGCTTCGAAAAATTCTGTATCGAAGAAAACTACGCTTTAGTTCCCGACGAACAAACCCTAGCCCACTTTGTGACGTCGATCTCACGCGAGCTGAGACCCGAGACGGTAAGCAAGTACCTCACAGGCATCGCTCATATCATGCGACAGCAATATCCCTTTGTCGACGCCGCCCGAAACTCGCCTAGAGTTAAAAAATCCATAAGAGGATGCCGCAAAGGTTTCTCTATTCCATCCGAACAGGCGAACGCCATGACCATGAACGACGTAAGAGCGTGCGCTAACCACTTCAACTATACGTTCGACGACGCCCTCTTCAACACAATCATCGCCATGGGTTTCTCAGCGCTGCACCGACTAGGCGAACTGACGGTATCGGACTCAATCGGCCTCCGAAACACTCGAAAGTCTATACGCCGATCCACGCTGGTCTTCTCAATATGCGGGAAAGTCGCCTGCTATAAGCTTCCATACCAAAAATCTGACTCCACATACAATGGCTCGCCAGTATCGATTGCAAATCGACCAGGGGATCCAACTTGCCCCGTCGCCACCCTCCTATACTATACGGTATGGCGCGACCGATGTTTTCCTTGCGAACCAATCCTGCTAGTCAAAGAAGACGGTAGCCAGCCAACCCGCTCATGGTTCATATCCCGTCTAGAAACTCTATTTAAGAACACACGGTCGGGCCACTCTCTCAGAGCCGGAGGAGCAACCGCATACGCACAAAGCGGAATGAAGTCCTACACCATTCAGCGTATAGGACGGTGGACTTCGGATGCTTTCGAGACATACATCAGAACCCACCCGATCCTCAATCTGAGTGAAACACAACGATGTGCGCAATCACACGGCATATCCACAGGAGAGCAAGTCGAGTTTCCTGGAGCTGCTCTCGTAAGCACCCACCAAATCTCCTTGCCTCTTTCTTCATAGCTCCGGCTAACAGACTGTCACCCTCGCTGACTATCTCTTCCATATTGTCTTACCTCCACAGCCGTGGACTAGCAAAAAGACAATAACCCAAGACAAACAAAACAGTCAAGGGCGGCGTAAAGTGAGTTACCTCGTGTAACTGTTCCACACCCACACGCTGATTCAAAGTACCCGTGCTAGGTATCTTTCATAGGTCCGGATCATCAATCCTCCTAACGGAAAGCGATTGATTCACCAATCACCTTCCCAGGTACGGTTAGTTTCATCAAACTGCCACGCACTCACGCGAGTACCTCTGACATAAATCCTATGGATAACATCCTGATTACAAACACAGCGTAGCCGTTCAAAGAGTTCAACCACAAATCAACCAACAAAAGATGGTCTCATCCATCACCACTCTCTTACTTACCATCACCAACTCTTCAAACTACGAGGGTGGTTGAACTCAATGGCGCTCACGTTCCGTGTCGGTCTCAGTACCAGTTTTTCTCACGCTTTCTTCTTTTCTTTTTCAGTCTTATTCGCGCTATCTCCATTTCTTTTCTATGCACGCTAATAAGATCTTTGCCGCATGGCAGTCAAGCGTAAAAACACCAAGTTGCATAAGCAACCCAAGAGCCAGACCCATTCCTGGAGGTCGGTACGCGTATTGACACACGGGAATGGGTCAGAAAGGTTCGCGGGTAGTGAAGCACGCGGGGTCCTAACCTTGACGTCCACTCCTCGCAGTGTGATCTCTTCGTATCTCACAACCAAAGATGGATGGACGTTAAGGTGAGGAAAAAAGATTCCTATAAAAACATCCCTTGTTCCCATCATAGAATCTTTGTCCCATCGGAAAAATTTCCATTATCTAAATAAGAAATCATTCCGTACTCCGCCAGTCTTTATCGCAAACCTTTCAAATTTTTATTACCTATTCGAAGAAGCTCTCTATTTTCGTTACCTCCCGCCCACCCATGCTGGTAGCTATCGTACGATTAACAATGTTCTCATTCATAGTATTAATTTTTTTTTAGTTGTTATCTTTCTATCTATGTCCTCTCTAGAAAATCTGTAAAAACCCAAAAAATATCAGCGTTGTAAAAAACCGCGCAAATGTTGAGCCGCCCGCAGAACTCAATGGCGCTCACGTTCCGTGTCGGTCTCAGTACCAGTTTTTCTCACGCTTTCTTCTTTTCTTTTTCAGTCTTATTCGCGCTATCTCCATTTCTTTTCTATGCACGCTAATAAGATCTTTGCCGCATGGCAGTCAAGCGTAAAAACACCAAGTTGCATAAGCAACCCAAGAGCCAGACCCATTCCTGCCCTGGATGCCACGAAATCTCCAGAACAGTGAGTAATTTCTCACAGGGGAAGATGTGAAGATCGACTTGATGCGACGAGGAAGATGACCATGAACTTGTTTTAGACAAATCATTCCTGAGGGCTCCTCCGAACAAAAGAGCGAAGAATTGAATAAAGCTTCAGGTTCCAGGAAACAGGTTTGGAAGGAAACTGATCGGACGAAGCTAGATCAAACAAAATCCCCCATCCCGAGGCCTGAACCTTCGAAAAGCTCAGAAGAAATGTATTTGCCTTTTTCTAGCTGTCCAAGAAGTCCGAGATATGTCAACTGATTGCCTGCTCACAGTCTCTCCACAGTCTCCTCGCAATCTAGTAAGATCGATGGCTCTAAGTCGTCCGTGGAAAGTATACCTACAAATCCCAATGACTTGGAATCAAATCCGGCACCTATAGAGCGGAGTAAGATGTCAGTCTTCTTTTCCCCATCTTGTTGGCTGGGCCAAGCTTTTGAATCCAAGACTGAAATCAGCCATCGAGAAGCCTTGATAATTCGAAAGGACCGTCCACTTCCACTCCTGTGGAAACAAGTAGGTCTCTGGGCCAACACGTAGAAAGTGTTGATAAGCAAGTGGCAGAAGTTAAACCTACCACGTCGCGCCTGTGGGCTGATATCGTCTCAGAGCCAGAAAAAGAGTGAGTACATAGTTCATTTGGCTTTCACTTATCCCCCTTGACTCAAGGGCTTCTGCTGTTCTAATCTCTCGCTCTTACCAGGAAAAAAGTAGCCCAATCATTTCCAGAAAAAGGAAAAAAAATCGTCTCACACCGTAAAGGCAAGCCTTTTGAAAAACAGAATGTCGAAGTCAAGAATACTGTTTCCCCACTTGGCTCTGGAATAAACTCCCGACTCCGCTCTGGGTCAAACACCAAGACTCGCGCATCCGAAAGTGGTTCGCTTCTCGATCCCATCCCCGCACAGCAAGATTCAGAATGGACAGAATACCGACAAAAGAAGGGCCGAAAAGGGAGATTTCTTGCTCAAAAGCCAGCGTCAAGGGCAGGTGTACACAGTGAAGTAGATAGGCCAACTCCTTTTGACGTGCCGGACGGGGCAAGTATTTCGAACGAAGCAGGGCCTCGTTCTCATACGCCGGACTCTATCCACAATGCCTTAGTAGCAGAAGCTCATCCCAGTCAAGATACTGTAGTAGATCTGACAGAATCTCATTCCCAAGAGGCGACCGAATCTCCATCGAATAATATTAATACACCATATAATGCAAATCCCGAACCAAATGATGAGTCCAGCGGATCCGGCCTGGGCGCTTCGAAGATCAAGGCAATCATCGCTGACAAGATTCACAAGCCCCCAACGAAACACAAAGGTAAATCGCGAAGGCCAAAAACAAAAGCTCAGATTGGTAAAACCGAAGGCGAGGGTAAACTTGATGTGCCAAACTCAGAGACCACCGAGCCCCAGATCACATCCTTACCCGAAAGCGAAACTGAACTACAACAAAAGATGGATACTATTCGACGCAAGTGGGACCAAGCAGATGCTGTACACAACGACTTAGATATACATAATGCATTCGTTGTACCGGATGAGGCAAGTATATCGAGTGAAGCAAAGACTCATACTAATACCCTGGACGAGGGCTCAGTGCCGGAAACTCATTCTCAAGAGACCTCGGAAACTCGATCGGAAGCTATGTCACATATTTCAACTCATGTTCCCGATGAGTTGATCAACTCGGTCTCGGACGCTTCAGAATTCGAACCCGCTATCACTGGAAAGATTAAGAAGTCACGAAAGAAGCAAAAACCGAAATCGCGCAAGACGAGACCAAACGCTCAGATCCATAGCTATGATCCAGTCAATACGCCTGCAAAAGGCCTAGCCTCAGAGTCCGTTAAGCCAGAGAGCCTATCCCCAGCTTCAAATGATAAAGATCCAGCGGCACAGCTGGATGAGATACTTTCCAAAGCCTTGCAAAAAGATAACAAAAGGGAACGGATAAGAATTGACTTCGACGAATCATCATATGAGAAACTTTCCAAAATCAGCCCCCTATCTGACGAGGCTTGGTCTCAATATCGCAACGAATTTCATTCTGATTTCGATAATCCTTATGAAGCTCACCGAAGATGGAATGCGCTTGCAAATCAGATTGATCAAAGGATGGCTACGGGGAATTGGAAAGATCTCGCTCCTATGCTAGCTGAACCAATCAAGGAAGTCGCACTCCGATTCAAGATTGATAAAGAATGGCCCACATTTGATGAAATTGATATGGCGTATGGAGAAGAGACAATGAGAATGTTGCAAAAGTTGAATCCAGATGATAAAGGCACTTTGGCTACGTTGTTTGGTGATAAGCTTTTCAGAGTTCGACTGGCTACAGTCTATGTCACATCACGTAGATCTCACAACGCAAAGCAATTTCAAAGATCACAACTTGTAGACTTTATGAAACGAGGCGGAATAGTACCAAGTTTATACGAGATTCATGATTGTTTAGAATTGAAATCAGCTGGAGTGAATTGGGACAACTTGAGTAAAGAAGAATTGGCGTCTAGATTCGATAGGATCATAAAAGCAATGACTGGGAGAATTTCAATTGGTGATAAGAATTTAGAGCTCACAAAACAAGATTGGACTTTGAGTTATAATAGAGAATACCTATCAAGACAGGGAGCTGCAACAAATTCTGTAGATTTTGCAATTCGGTTCAAAAAGTTTGCTGACAAAGTAAATTCAGAATTAAAACCTCAAAGTATCTCAAGTTGGTGGGGAATTCCGGAATCTGAAAGGGCAGATTACCCAGCCTGGGCCACCGAGATTATCACACCCGCTCAGGTATTGGCGGCTGCAAATTTCGATTTGACACTCAGATGGGTCGGAATGATGATACATGCGTCTAAACAAGTTGCGACACGGCAGGAAGATCTCGACCGAAAGATAATTTATTGGCCTGTTAATGTACCACACGAATTGATTTCGAAATTCGGACGATTTGAACATTATTATAGATTTTTCGGTTTTGATTTGAGATACCCCATTTAACAAAACCCTTGATAGGTTCTCAACCATCAATAAATACATTCTTTAGGGGAAAGCTCTTTTTTCTCAACCATAGTTGAAGATACCATCCAAAGTACACAATTCTAAGTAAAATGACTTAACTTCTTTATGGCCATAAATTAGATGTGTATATAGATTATTTTGGATGGCTTTTGCAAAATATAATAACTGTGAAAAAGACACTTGCCAAATCAAAAGGCAAAAAGATCAGTAAGTGATCAATTCTATTTGCATCCCTCAGCTACTCTTATCCAAGCCATATCTACAGCACAGGAGGGGCCTTCAACATTTATGGCTGTGCTGGAAGAAGCCCCTTTTGTTAGTTGCAAGACCTTACTACATGCCCTTGATAAGTGATGTGTTATATTTACTACACTGTCTAAAGACTGTCTCTTAAAACAAGACAATCAGAAAGGGGAACTCTGTTGAATTGAGTACTGATAAGTGTCAAAAGAGAAACATATCTTGATTTAACTTTCAAAGGAACAAAGGCACAGTTTTTCAATGAAATAGAAAAGTTTTAATTTACTCTCAACACTTATCACCATGTCCGGGTAGTGTTTGCTTGACAAAGTGATGACTCATGAGCGTTGCACTTGAGTTATTCGGCCATTTTGGATAGCTCATGTGACAGTGCATCCTCATTCAATTGTTGATGTATGCTGACGCAATACGAGTTTGTCAAAAATCAAAAATTGATGAGGACTTAAGCTGCAGAATAAGGGAAGCAGGGGCATGTTGTTGTTGGCAGTTGAGTATGTGCAAAAGGTGAGGAACAATTTGCACAAAACAAGACTTGCCAGCATAATGTGAAAGGTCTGACACATCAATGGCCCAAGGTGTATCATTAAGGTTTTGGACATACACCCTTCCTGTTTAAGCGTACATAGGCAACATGTAAGTATGCTTAAGCCAAGAGGGTGTATTATCAGATTCTCAGAAAATTGTCAGTCTCACATCCTCAGAATTATTCCCCCAATTCTTTGGTGCTCCCAAGTAAATGGGTGTTTGCAGAAAAGGCAAATTCAGATGGAAATGTGGTTAAAAGAAAGTCAAGATTTATTGTCAGAGATTTTACACAGCGCAAGGGTATTGATTTCTCCAAACCTTTTGCTCCAACTGCACACTTCACATCACTAATGATCATTTTTACAATCAAAGTAAATGATGGTTGGCACATTAGGGGTTTTGACATTGTGGCAGCTTATCCACACCGTGTAAAATACCTTGTAGCACATCAATGTGCACACACGACAAGATTTGAAAAAAAAGAATAATGTTTTGTTGAAGTAAGTGTGCGGAAAGCAGCTCAGACCTGCATATTTGTCTCACAAAGGGCTTGCTTTCTGAGCACCTGGACAAAGGGATAGTTCTAAAGATCTGTTCAAAGGGAAAGTCTTCGGATCCAAAGACCTGTTTAAAACTTCTATCACTCTACTATAATTTTCTTTTTGTGTGTGCAAGTCGACGTGCTACCAAGAAGTTTACATGGTGCCACATTCTCCATTTGATGAAGTCATTTATGTGCAACCTGCCAAAGGTGTGATGGCGTCTCAACCCAACATGGTGCCTCTTTTGAAGAAGGCACTCTATGGCACTAAGCAGGCGGCTAGGTGCTGGTGGAAGCACTTTTCCAGTGTGCTGGCTGGAATGGGATGTAAGTACTGTATAAATGATCAAATTCTCTATGTTCTTCATCACAAATTGGATATTGCTTTACTTTGGATTCACGTCAATGACAGGGTTATATGCAGATCTTCAATTGAAGTCATTACATTTATCAGAGACTGCTTATTGAAAACTTTCCAAGTGGCTTGGAACAACAATCTCAAACAGATTGTTGGCATCAAGATTGATTATACACCAGGCAGTGTCTTCCTATCCCAACCAACACTCACGTCAAACATTCTTGAATCCACCGGTTTCATTACTTCTAAAACATCCACTCCAATGATTGCAAATCTCCACCTCAACAAATCCAACAAGGACACTGTCAGTATCAACCCTTCTTCATACCTATCAATTCTTGGATCACTCTTGTACTTATCAATTGGTACAAGATTGGATATGGTGTTTGCAGTTAACTATCTGGCCAGTTTTTCATCTAAACATAATGAAGGACATTGGTTGGCATTGAGACACTTGCTTAGATATCTTAGTGGAACAAAGAATGATGGTATATGGTTTAAAAAGATGGTTGAAGGTGATGAGTTAGTTACTTATTGTGATGCAAATTGGGGGGGGGTTTCAAGGTCAACACACAGTTTTGCAGTATTTTTGTATGGTTATATCATTTTGTGGGCTTCAATATGTTAAAGCTGTGTGGCAACATCTACTTGTCATGCCAAATATATGGCTTTAGGTGTGGCGGCTAGAGAATCTATTTGGGTACAAAATTTATTGGAGGACATATTCAAGAAGATTTTCATTACTACTCTTAAGGCAATAACACTGCAGCCATCAAGATTGCTCAAGATTTACATCTCACAAAAAGATCACACCATGTACAACGGGAATGTCACTACATTAATGAACAGGTATTTGATGGAAATCTGAGAATTGATTGGATCAGTGGTCCCAATCAGAAAGCTGACATTTTGACAAAATCCTTAACTACTGTAATTTTTCAAATTCACAAGAAAAACATCTGCATGTAAACCTCTAAAAGGTTAAGGGGGGGTGTTATGGCTAGTGCTGACAAGGCGCCAAGCCTTTTACTCACCTTCTTTTGGTTTTGACCAAAAGGGATTGTTTACAAACATTTATGGTATACAAATATTGTTATGGAAATTTCCAGAAGATTTTTCCCAGATCATCAGAAAGAAAAATTGGTATCTGGCATTCTGGTGTTCTGGAAGTTTGAACGCCCCAGCAGTCCAGAATACCAGAATCCTGAGTACATGACTGCGACACAAAGTGAAACCTTGTTCACAGAGATATAGTTTTCCAGAACACCAGAAGGGTTCTGGCATTCTGGGAAAAACATTCTGGAAATCTCCAGAACAATATTTACATACCATAATTGTTGTCTAGTCTGGGTTCTGTTATTCTGACTGCGTCATACTCATAGTTGTAACACCACATGAGACATGTTTCATATAAAAGTTGTCTATTACCTGATAGTTGTTAGCTTTTCTTTTGTCACAATTGTTGTTTGTTTTGCTAGACCAAAACTAACACTAGCCCTTCTAGTCCTTTTGTCACTTATCAGGTTTGTCATGGGCAATACTAGGTAAAATACAACCCTAGCAGCCCTCAACTGCCCAAAAAAATTATTTTAAAAAGCAACCTTTTCGGGAACGGCTGTACAATTGTGCTAAATTAATTTTCTCCCCGATATATCTTGGCATAGGTCACTGGTGCAGCGTCGAGTCGAAGTCTACATAGAGTTATGTAGAAGAGTCATTTCGTCATGTGAATATGATTGATAGAGGCGGCGCGCAAAGGTATTTCTGATTTGACAAAGTCACTCGATTGAGTTTGTTCTTTGCTTTGCTTAGCTTTTAGTGTGACATTGATTGGGCTTGGATGTGGGAGGAATCAGGATATCATAACAAGTTCACACACGACTTCAAGATCACGCTGAATGAATTTATTCAAAATAGAAAGATGTGGTAATCAAGAGGTTCTTGAAAATTATGACCGAGAAGCTTTACTCTCACTAGTATTCATGATGAACATTAATCTTTTATGTTTACATAAAGTCTTGCATCATTTCTCGTGAATCGACTAGTACATGATAAGACATGATATCACTCCAAGATCTAGACCAATTCGTGTGAGAAAGAAATATTCATATTCACAATGTAAATATATTTTCTACCATCAACCTTTTGAAAATTCGAATCTAAACGCGCAATCGTATCACAGAGAGTAATCAGGGTCCAACAATACGCGTCTGGAATTCCAATCAGAATTCGAGGTGTCTAAGATTTGAAGAGTGAAATATGTCAATATTAAGATCTAATACGATCATGTTTTTAAGAACACTTACAGATTTCAAATGACATTTCCCACAATCTTAACCCAGTCGAAGCAGATCTTACAATCAGCTTCGGTATGGTCACAGCAAGGAATATCATCATCTGGATCCCAAGGGTCACCCAAAGGAAAAAGAGCGTATGCGAAAAGATCAATCGATGGTCTATCCTATAAAAAATCAAAAAAAGAATTAGTTTTTTTGTGTATCGATTTGATCTTCAATTCGATAGATTTCTAGTTTTAATTTTTTTAGCTTACATCTGCATCAATATCTGGGTCATCACCTCTAGATTCCAAAAGCGCCGCTAGTTCCTTCTCGATCGAGACAGTATTACATAATCTGTGATCGACGCAACAACGATGACAGAGCTCTTGACCGTGTCTGGCACAGAACATGAAACCGTTTGCCATGATATCTCCATGAGTCATTGTTGTGAAGATGAGTTTAGTGAACTGGTTGGATGAAAGATGATGATGAGATGGATTTGGTAAAGAGTCTGATTTATTGATGATCGAGATGAGACCCGGACCCGGGTTCTGGCCGGATATCCGACGGATGCTCTGTCGGATCCGAATGCCGGAAAGGCCTTCAAGATTGTCCGGTGGCCGGGTAATCCGGCTGGTTTGGTATTTGGAATGAGGGGAGGGGAAAATAACGCCAGATATACACCGGATACTCCGGCTATCCGGCGGAAATCCGGTGTAACCGGTGTACCGGTTTGAGTGTCGGATGAGGAGTTTTTGGAAAAAAACCGATCGGATTTTATCCAATCGGTGCAGATAAAACAAAATATCCGTCGGTTCGGTCGTCGGAATGGCCTGAAGCCGCCGGATACCGGCCGGAGCACATCTTGAATTGATGAGGCTAAGAAGAGAAGAGAAGAGAAGAATCAAACAAAGTGGTCAAGAACAATTTTGAGACTTAAAACTTAAATCATGATGTCATCAAGTCTCAGACTCAAGACCAAAGGGATCATCATTTCATCATCATCATTCATCATCATCATTGATGTTAAAGGGAAACCGCTTTCCGCGGCAAAACCCAATTAAACTTCCAATCAGTACTCCAAAATTGGAGGCTTACAGGCTCCCCGGTTTTATCTTGAATTTCACGTGTCTCACCCCATATTTGTAGTTCTTTCGGCATCCCAATTCTTCATACCATCCACCACTCTGATACCCGCTCAAGGTGTGCTCTGTCTGGTATCCGGCGTGTTCAAGCCATTCTGACAACCAAACCGCCGGATTATCCGGCCACCGGATGATGTCAAAGGCCTTTCCGGCATCCGGATCCGTCAGATGATCCGATGGATATCTGGCCAAAAAACCCAGTCCGGGTCCCTGACAACACGTGTAAGCTGCGGTATCCGGCGTGTTCAGGCCATTCCGACAACCAAACCGCCAGATTATGCGGCCACCGGATGGTTTCAAAACCCTTTCCAACATCCGGATCCGACAGATGCTCCAACGGATATCCATTGAATCTTCGGTTCCGGAGCACACCTTGAATACCTGCCAGACCATTTGATCTGTCAGCCTGAGTCTAAAGAATTGGTAACTTATAGACTTTAAACTGAATGAACTTACTAGATAATGATCTTATCTGGGTCGGCTTTGTTACAGTAACAAGTATCTTTACAAAGTACTGAAATAAATTCGAGCCAAAGAGATATTGTTAGTTCTTCTTCGGTGAGAATATCTTTAACAATAGGCACTTACTGAATAAAATGTGATCCTTTGTTCAATAGTCTTCTACAGATGGGTGAGTTTAAGCACGCCTATCTCAGGGTGATCTAAATTCTACTATACTTTTGAAAAGCAGAAGTCTAGCTTTGTTATTTCTTAAGTATGGATCTGAGAATTATGTTGGACTGGTCGGTTATGAGCTTTGATGGATCTATCGAGTTTTATCTTTAACACAAGCTAGCGAGTTTCAAGAAAAGTAGAGCAAAGAAGAGAGTTTTAAACAAAAACCACAGTGGTCAGAAAGATAGGAAGTATACAGCAGAGAGCTTGATATGTCCAATTCTAAAAGTAATTTGGCTGGTGGTTTCTAAGAGTAAAATTTGTATTCGAAGCTTTTAGTTTCTACAAAAGTTTGTTATAGTTGTGTTGGGTAAAAAAATGAGATAATCTTCGTTCTTGGTGCGAGTTTAGGCCAGTTTATATATCCTTGGATTTAGATATTATTCTGCTGGTTGATATCGCTAAACTTCAGATTTGTACCCTGTCTTGGCTGGTCAGGGTCTTTTAACTAGCCGTAACTAGGTCTACGTTGTACCTTGTTTAATTTAATTTTATGTCATCATAACAGGGTTCTATTCCTGGGCCGGTTATGTTTCTAAGCGTCTGGTTCAGGAATGTAGGTTCCTTTTTGTTTCTAGTTGTTTTAGCAGTTTTGTTGTTCCTAAGGGTTTTTAATTGTGTTTCACTCTTGATACTCGAGTGTGAGTTGTGTTGAGTATGAAACATGTTTCTCATAACTTTGTTTCATACTTGTTTTAATTTTTTGGTTTTTTTTATTTGTTAATGTAAAAATGTGGTTATGTTAATCTAAGCGGTAGTCTTGATTACCTGCTAGGTTGACATGATCTGAGTTGTTATCTATGCATTTCACAATGGATTAGATGTCCTCTCAAGACTTTGGTCTCACCTGGATTTACAACTTCCCTTGTATTGATCTGTACTATCTTTCTTGGACTTCCATTTTATGTTCATTGAGGTTGTTGATTCAGACAGGTATCATTTGAACAAGAAGCATTGGGAAAACAGCTCAAGATGATTGCCAACAAGATCATGAATACAAGTGAATCAGATCACCAAAAGAGTCGACTCAAGGAGAGAATGTACAATTGTTTGGCCCATCTTGGTGAGTCTCTTAAAACTCAGCCTGAGCCCCAAAACCAACGCCCCAAGGGTTCCCCGAACCCCAAACCGTCGGGGTTCAGGTTTGGTCAGTCTTTTTTGGACTCCAATACATCAGGGGGCCCTTAGGGTTTGGGGGCGGGGGGCATATTCTTCAATCCCTCAATGTTATACGCGGGGATCCCCGGCGACCCGTGGGGTTTAGGCCTTCGGAATAGGGGTTGGGGGGGCTTCTGAGAGTCAGGTTTTGATTGGTTTGGGGTAGGGTTTGGGTGCAGGGGGGCTTATTGAATATTGGTTTGGGGTGCGGGTAGGCCATTACCCGTGTTTTTTGGGTCGGGGCTCAGGCTGACTTAAAACCCGATTCAGTGTACAGTGCCCTCCAAGTGGTTTACGTAATCATTCAAGTTCTGCAGTGGTGGGGCCAGGGCCTGTCGCGAACCCAATGATTACGGATCCTAGGTGTGGGGACGTGTACATATCCATGATCTTACAATTTAATCGCTCATTTTTGTGGCTAATGCACTTGGAGAAGAAAGCTTTTCATCTGATTCAACCCACTGGACCCAAAGATTAATTGCTGCTACAAGTAAGTTTCAACCTAACTCTGAGACTCTCTCATGTTGCTTATAAAGCTTTTGATTTGATAAACCTTAGACCAAAGAACAGAAAAGCTTCCTGTGACCTTGTGTTACATATCAAAATCTATTAAATCTACCATGATCCAACAATATCTAGATTGGTTGATTGAGAATTTGATGGATTATGTGACCCAGAAACTGGAATTTTCAATGATTGAACTGGACAATGATCATCATCATCATCATCACAATCAAGAATGGCAACTAAGTCCTATTTCAATCTTACTCCGATATTGATGGAACATTTCATTGATCTGATGTCTTTCAAGCTTCATTTCTACCTGGTACCACACCATCCAAACTGAAATCAGATCCAACTGAATCAGTTATGGAGTAGACCTGTACTCGTACTTGTGGATGTTAGATCATTTTTAGATCAACTCAATCCATGGACCATCATGTTACTCTCAATCAGATCAAATCAATTTGACAGATTCAAGTAAATGATCTCTCCAAAACCTAAAAACAAAAAACAAAATAACCCATGAAAGTTATCCTAAACAAGAATACAATTTCATAGATCAACCCCAAAACTCTACATCAAAGACATTAACCAACACATCAGCCACCCGGATTAAATGGTTAAACCACCTCCAAAACTTAAGATATGGCATCATTTATCATTAAATATCCAAACCCAGGAAGAAACAATTCTAAGAATCACAAAACCTGATGATGAAAATATTGAAAATGTTATAAATCATCTGCTTGAGCTTTTTAAACAATTATGGGATACAAAGTAGAAACTGGGTTTTTTTCGCAGTTTCCCTGTTTTTGTTTTTGGCTGTGTTTGGGACTTTCCCACGTTCTCCCAGTTTTCCAGTTTTTGTTTTTGGCTGTATTTGAGAAACTGGGAAACCGGGAAAAAACTCCCAGTTTTTACTTTGTATCCCACAAATATAGAGCTTTCAAATTTATTGAATTTGAATATAGTTTAACTGAAATATCAATGATATATTAGATTTGCTCCAAAAATTTGTAATGAATTCAATCCAAATCACAATATAAATTGCTTCAAGATAATAATCCAAAAAAACCTTTCTTACTTTTCTTTTGTGTAGCCAATTGAAAATATACTTATTTTGATTTTTTTGTCAAGTGATTCAATCTTAGCATTTGAAGAAGAAGTTCAATGGGGATTATCAGTAGAAGTTTCATAAACCCAACTCATCCAAAATCAACTTGAATGTTCAAATCATTTTAAACAATTTGTCAATTCCAAACCAAGTCATTCAATTTCTCTTCCTTCTTCTCAAACTCACTCAATTACAGACATATGTTTTGTTTTTGTTTGTGTATGTGTAGATTGGAAAATCTTCAAGAAGTGATTAATTTATCATCTTGTATACCAATCAACTTGGATTAGAGAATGATTTTTTCCCCTTATCTAATTGAATTACAATCAAAGCTATGGTAGACGGTGACCCTATTGAACTTATATTGAGGTATCATTTTGATAGTCAAGGATCTGCAAATCAACTAGACAAGGTAAATGTCAACCTCTTGAATTGGTTTGATGTCTTATTCATTTAACTCGTTTGTTGTTTTTGAATAGCCTCAATGGTATTTTGATCATTATATATTTCATTGACTAGAGAAACATTAAAGTTCTGTAAGCAGGGATATACAAAATTGAATGAATATGAAGGGATATAAGCAGTTAGATTCAATGGTAAATTCAATACCAAACCCTCAACAAGAAAAAAACTAAAGGAAGAATCTAAAGTCTTCTCTCATAGGCTGAATTTTCAACTTTGTTAATTGAAATGATTGAAAAGAAATTAAAATGAAGAATAACACAAGTATCAGATATTAAACTGATTTTAGCACTTATGATTTTTAAATCTATTGAATTTGATATATCTATCAAAGAAAAAGGATTGCAACCTATTGTTCAATTTACATCTGATCCATGTGAAAATG